GTATGTACCTGATGGGGTTCTATTTTTTTAAGACCTTCAGCCTCCCTAAAAGTTTGAGTCTACATGTAGCCTGTCCTTCTCGCACAAGAAAGGTTGCCATATATAGCTTAAAGTGATATATGGCGTACTTTTTCATAAGTTCAGACTAATTAAAATCAAAAAGATCTTTCTATTAGTTTTGTTACTTCATATAAAGATAGGACATTCTTGTAAATTACACAATTTAAATTAATCGCGTTTCATAGATATCCGAGATTTAAAGGAATAATTGATTTATTTCCGACTCGGATAAAAATATCAGACACAGTTTAAAGTCAATTTAACTACGGAAACATCGGAATATTTAAGTTTAAAATCGATGAAAATTTAAATTTGAACGTAGATATCAAATATCAACTTAATCTATACATAATCTCGTATTTTTATTTTTTTAGCTCAGATACGCCATGATATTCTAAATTAAATTTAGATGAAACAAGAGAGGAGAAAATGTATAGATTGACAGGAAATTGAACTCAGGACTTCAATATAACTAATCAGGTGCTCTACCAATATTCAGGTTGATATCCAGACTCAAACCATTACAAGTACACTGTACTTATATGCGTTAAATTTCTGATTATAAACCTATTACAATAAATCTGAGGGAAATTCTTCATCCCTATCTCATTTACATAATCAGGTCTGGTACAATCACTAGATTTAGCTACGTAGCTTGATTTACCTACATAGCTTTATTTACCTACCTGAGGTAGCTTTATTTAGCTACCAACTCAATTTATTTCTATAAAAAAGCATTTTTCTCAGGGTGTGCGGAAAATATCCTTTTGATGCAGTGATCATTTTCAACTTTGAACTCATTTGAAAACAATTAACTCAGGAAAAAATCATTCTTGAAGAAATGTTTTTTTCTGCACTATTGCAATCAAAGTTCTGAAAGTTTTGGGGCTATGTATGACAGTTAGAACAGTTACTCCTTGAATGAAATGACAAAGAAGTCCAGTTCCGGTTAACACGATAATAGGTTAGTAATCATTTAGCATAATGTGAAGTAATCATACTCAGTCATGCCTCACCGCATGCATGAGAGAGAAGACAGTAATCAAACAATGGAATTACATGTTTTGCTCTAAATTGTCCAAACGCAGCAATGTTTAAACTATCTCTGCTTTGGATTGTTTTTTAAAGCCTCCCTATTATAAATATCAATAGTCATTTAATTGCGATTTTTTGTCTCTCTTTAATGAAAAGAAAAATTTTTAAAAGTTACATTGAAATAGCTAAATAAAGCTACCTGAGGTAGGTAAATAAAGCTACGTAGGTAATTCTACCTACGTAGCTAAATCTAGTGATTGTACTGGACCTGGTAAAGTACATATTCTGAGTGTATGTTATTATTTCTGACCAGCATTGGTCGTTCATTGTCATACACTTGCAAATATATATCAAAAAGCTTTTCAGTTTCATAAACAAAATTTCAAAAAGCGTTAACTTATTCCTCATGTTCTTGCATCTTTTTCTCTCCATCTTAAAGTTTACACATAATTTTTTCAAACACTTTGCTTTTAGGATAACAGAAAACATTATGGATATACATTAAGCTTACCTACTTTTTTGTGTCACTGCTGTCAGTAGTGTTAGTCGAATATTATGGGCACTACATTTTGTATCAAACCTCAGCGTACAACTCCAACTGCCTACTTTGAAGTTTTTTTTTGACGCCATTGTGAAACTAATATTTTTCAATCTTGAACCCGATGCAAATTTGACAAAAAAATGAATACAGCACGCCTATGTAAAGTTAAGGTTTGGTTTTATCACTTGATAAAAAAATACTTGGAAAAGATATTTGATTGGGAAAAATCTTTTCATAAAATGCATCTAATTAATGCCGTGTTTTTAGTGAAAACCATCACTGCAGAAACAAAAAATGTTTATCAATGAAGGGGAAGTTGGACTTGGATAGTCTCTGGAAAGTTGTTTTCCCTGTTCATTTGGCCCAAATGTGAAGACTTGATTTCAAGCAAAAGTACATTGCAAATGGCGGGTTCTACAAGGTCTTGTCTTTATACATGTCATGCTTTAATTCAATAACAGCATTTCAGAGACCATTCACGTCCAACTTGCTCTTCAATGATAAACATATATTATTTATGCAAGGATTTATGCATTAGCTAGCACCAAAAATTAAGAAAATACGGCGATCGGGGGTTTAAGTTCTAACTTAGTAGATTATACTCCAATGTCAAGGTTTTCAGAGTACAAGTAAATACATGTAAATAATTATCAGTTGGTACAGACCAATGGTATGTTCTTCTCAAAAGGAATACATATGTTTAATGTGAAAGTATAAACTGTTCTAAAGTTATATATATAGATAAGGTTAGATTGTTGATCAAACTCAAAAGTCAAGATCAAGAGGTACACTGTAAAAAGTTTTGTACTTTGTTTATATACTACTAAGTATTAAAAGTTATAACCAAGTTTTTTTTTTTTAAAGTTTTTCAAATGAAGGTGAAATTCTATTATTAATAATGTCAAAAATACTGATACCCAATCATGTCTATTGAGTTAGAGCGATCTGCACTGTGATCTTAAACGATGTAAACGCAAATTTTCAGTGAATGACACGATTTGAAATCATAGATTAATGATTTCAAAATGGTATAATTAGACCAAAATAGGATATATTTCAAAGTAATGTGAAATCCCAAATTTTTCATGGGGTTTAATTTTCATTGTTTCCGAGATATGAAGAGACCCACGATTTCATGCCCACCACGAAATGTAAAATGTTACATACATATTCGACCATCCTCACAATGTCAAGGGTTTGTGATTTCTCGAACTCCAGTTTGTGTGGAGTTCGAGAAATCACAAACCCTTGACATTGTGAGGATGATATTCGACATGAATGAAGATGAATTCTTCATCCACGAATTCAAATTCCCGCAAACGAAGAGAAATTTTTACTCAATCCATGAAAATTTGACTCCACGAAAATGTGAATTTACAGTAAAATAAAACGCTGTTTTTATATATGTTTAAGTAGTTCATTGATTTCGTTCATTTTTGTTGGGAGGGGGTAAGCTTATGTAAGCTATTCTATGTTCAAAATGAACTAGTTTTTATCACGCTTAAAACATTTTTTTTTTTACAATTTTTTTGGTCTTATTTTCAAAAAGGTGACTTTAATTCATACAACTTAATTTAGTTAAAAATGTAAAGTATTTGTTAATCATCAATTCTATTCATGTCATGTGGACACCAAGAATGTTGTGTCGTCATAAGTGGTAGGACATGTGAGCTCTTGGGAACAGGATAAATTCTCTTGTAATTTCGGACTTCCTTGAAAATCCTTTAGTTTTGTCTCGTATTTGAGAACAGCATACTCCTCACCCTCCTCATCATGAAGAAAATCAAAGGAGTCTGTACGAAGTTGGTACTAGTGAAATTTCAACCCACGAGATACAAAATGGACAAAAAGGTTGAACCACGCATACTGTGCGAGCACTACAGGAGAAAATGAGACAGCTTGAAAGTAGCATGGAATTTTTTAAAGATCATCAGAAGTGATATTAAATTTATGTTGTGTTGGGCGTTATGAACCTGTCTGGGTCATGAATTTCATCATGCCGTCCAGCGGGATCTTAATTTACACCGTTTAAAAGAACAGGGTTTAAATGTTTAAGGTCAACTATTATAAATAATTAATAAAAATATTGGCAATAGAAACTAGAAATACACATCTGAACGTTGTATTAATTTCGATTAATTTGACCATAAAATGGTCATTATGAATGAAATCTATAAAATCTGACATGACAATTTATTGAATTTCAAATTGTCTTCGGAAAGTTATCTCTCTTAGAAGATGGAAATTGCCCCTTAACAGTAGTCATTGATCATCTGGTTCATATAATATAGATTTTCCATAAACATGATAAACAAAAAAAGAATGAATGGCACACAGATTAAGAGATAGACAGGAAAATTCTAAATTTCATTTGCATGGGTTCATTAACCATATAATTAGACGAAATTCCAGTCGCTGATTTTAATCTATTTTATACTTCTCTACAAAGACAGATATATATACCTCAAATATTTAAATCACATGACTTGGTAACAAGTAAACATCTAGAATGAAAATACCAGTAAGAGAAAAACTTGTTCGGGACTAACATGGAGGCCATGTTGCAATGGTATTCTCAGGTTAGACAAGATCATCAGATTTAATTTAGAAACACCTTTCCAATTGTCAATTCTGATCTTAATTCTATCATAATACATTAAATGAAACGCATTAAAGATTCACTTAACACTTAATACTGAATACAAAAACTATTTCAATGTTATAAAGTGTTATCATTTCCCGTCCTTACATTTTTTTTCATACATGAGGAAATTTCCTCGGCAATTTTAAAACTACAAACATATATGTTCCTTTCTATTCTTCGAAATTGACTTTGTCATACAATTACCCATGCCTCCATTTATTTTATACAAGGTCATCTGATTTTTTACCAAAACCCCAGTGATGGACCCTTTGGACAGAGCTCAAGTACTCCTCCTCTGTGACCTGTATTAAAGAGCAGCATAACAGAGTCATTGTGAACTTTGTCAGATTAACCTATGTAAGACCTGTGTAGGGGAGCATCTTTTTGATTCATCCATAAGTCACAAAGTTGTACCATACAAACACAGAAAATGTAATCCTAAAGTGAACTACCCAAAATGTAAAAACCACACACAGAAACATTGTGAACTTTATTCTGAGAAATGTGACATTCCTGTTTGTTCTACCTGCCTGTCCTTTGAAAAACACCATAAGTTTAAATTAACAGATATCTTTCAGAATCCCAAATTCATTGAAGGAATTTTAAACAAGTATCTGAAAAAACTAGAAAAAATCATATTTCCTACTTTAAAAAAATTGCACTTAATATCAAGGCTGAAAAGGCTGACGTGGAAAAAACTTTGTGAGAAACTCACAACAGATGTTACCAAACAAGGTGAAGTATGGCATAGCCAAATAGACATCGTTGTTAAAAAGAGAAAATCTGATATTGCTGAGATAAAAACTAAGGTCCTGAATGCTCTCGATGAGAAGGAAAGTGAAATAAATCAAACGATATCTGAGCTAGAAGAGAACATTACTAACCTTAAGGAAATACTGGACTACGATGACGTATCCCTGCTATCCACATACATATCCAGGAATGCTGAATTTAGACGTTTACCTCCTAAAGTCAATGTCTCTTTACCAAGTTTCTCTCCTCATCAGAACAACACAGAACATCTCCATCAAATGTTTGGTTCTCTATCAGCATTATCCGTTACAACAGAGGAACATGGTTACACAATGAAGACACACAAAGCTGTATCCTTTACTCCAGTCAAACCACTGCTTGATAAACCAGAGGTCATCACCACCATACACACTGAGTTTGGACTACTAAACAGTGTTACATGTCTCAGTGATGAAGAAATCTGGACATGTGGTAATAACAAAATCATGAAACTCTACAACCTCCAGGGCAAACTACTGAAGTCAATCCAAACCAAGTCAGGGGACAGTCCATGGAACATAGCAGTGACAAGGAGTGGAGATCTAATTTACACTGACCCTGTTACAAGAACTGTTAACATAGTGAAGAATGACCAGATACAGGAAGTGATCACACTCCAGGGGTGGACATCGCACTGTGTCTGTTGTGCTTCCTCTGGTGACCTGGATATCATGTATAGTGATGATAAACGATCAAAAGTTGTCCGTTACTCTGGCTCCAAAGAGAAACAAACTATTTAATTCGATAGTGAAGGCAAACCTCTTTTTTTTATCTCGTTACGAAAGTAAATACATCAGTGAGAACAGGAACTTGGATATCTGTGTGGCTGACAATGGAACCAAAGCAGTAGTGGTGGTTAATCAGGAAGGAAAACTTCGATTTAGATACACTGGTCATCCCTCTACTACCAAGAAATCATTTCATCCACGCGGCATCACAACAGACAGACAGAGTCAGATCCTGACAGTAGATCGTAACTACAACTGTATCCACATCCTAGATCAGGACGGACAGTTCCTCTGTTACATTGATAACTGTGATCTAAATTATCCAAGTAGTATATGTGTGGACACCAGAGACAACCTCTTTGTGGCTGAGTTATACAGTGGTAAAATAAAGAAAATCGTATATATGTAAAAAGTTTTTTTTAAATACAATAACAACACGTTTTTTATTGGAATTTATTCCTTAGCCAATCTCACAAGATATTGCTTGATTTAACTTTACGTATAGTTACATGTATTGTGCGAATGATTATATGGTAACTATTTAAGAAATTGTAATAATTTTTGGTATTACCATTCTACTCAAAATTAAAATTACTGCTGAATATTGGAATAAACTTCCATATCTCATTGTGAATATTTACACATGTATATATAATCATATATTTCCGAACATGAAAAAAAATTATTTTGTTTTGATCTACATGTATGCACTGCACTCTGAAATATTACGATTATTTTGTTTTCTTGTGTTGCCTCAATCTCTCACGAGAAGGCTTAAACGAGCGGAGCGAAAAAACGCCCTCTGGTGAGAGATTGGTGTTGCCTGTGGAGCACAGCGGCACTTAGGGATCACTTTACCCGGCGTCTGTTCGTCCATTTGTCACACCTTTTCTTTCAAGAACTGTAAGAGATATTGACTTGAAATTTTGGACAATTATTGCTTGGTACGACATCATTTGTAAATTTTAATGATTACTGACCTCATGACCCTTGACCTTGTCTTTTGTCCTATTTTACTTAAAAGTTAAAAGAGCCAATGTACAGCAAATCTTTGACATTTAAGGGGTAATTCTATGCTATTTAGAATGTGCACTAATTGTTATACGATATCATGGCAAATGCCAGCGTTGCAATTCACTTCACCTTTTAACCTACTTCACAAAGAATATTGCAGGTTATTTAATTCAAATTAAGACTTTGAATTTTGGTGTTGATAATTAACATTTATACATGCTTATGAGCTCTTTTGAAATACTGTTCTTTGAAATGGTATGATATCCAGTAACCATAAAAACTGATATTTTGTAAACCTAGGGGTTTTGAACGGATATTTTATTCGAACATTGAACTAGGACTAAATTCATATCATAATCAATTTAGTTATTAATAGTGGATTTAGTAGTGACAGTAAAAAAGAATAAAAGTTTATTAAACCAGAATGAACATTATTAGTGTACTACATACGAGGGTCACTCAAAAATACGTAGACAATGTTCCTCATCATTACATATGTTTTACAAAGTTATATATCAGCACATTTTTATATGTAGAAACATAGATGTGTAAAGTTTTATTACATTTATTTTAATGGAATTCATGTTGTTAAAAGCAACATTCATGTATTGTTACGGTTTAAACATTGTAACGTCAAAAAACAACGCCGTGAACGTTTCTTATACTCTTTGTGTCTTTTCATTTTACACACGGTTTGTATCGTTTTTCTCATTCATTAAAACGTATCTATAACACTTAACCCCTAGTATGCTTACAATAATTCGAGCACCTTAAATAAGATTATCATGTTTTCAAATTCTTTACCGTGTAACTCTGCTTTCACAAGTTCTGCATCAGTGAAGCCCAAATCATGACGTCGACGTTACTAACTCTTTTGACAAGATTTTGAACTATAATGGGTTTCTCTGCAGACCGCTCATCGTCCAATTCAAAGTCTTGACCACTCAAAAATTGTCTGGTCCATTATAAAAAAATATTTTATTATATATAATTTTCCAGATGGAATATATGGTTTAATCAGTCTTTTCGGAGTTTTTTTTAGAAGTTTCCGAATGCAAGAAATAATATTAGTGCTACTCGTTGCTACGTGACGTCTTACGACGTCATGATTTTTTGATTTTTTTGATCAAGATTATCTGTCTATAGAAATTGATATCTTTTAAACAAAGAAATGTATTACATTATACAATTATTGCTGTTTTTTTAGGTAAATAACTTGATCCGAAGGGTCGTATCACGTCGAGCTGACAGTCGCGGATCATCAGATCAAACGATACGCGAAGTGTCTCGTTTGATCTGATGATCCGCGCCTGTCAACGAGACGTGATACGGCTCTTCGGATCAAGTTACTGTTATAATGATAAATTTATTATATACCCCCTTATAACTAGCTAAATATAGCAGAATAAAACTTTAGAGATCAATTGTATAATATTTATCCATAAAACAAAGCATGATAACAAGGGACTTTTTAACGCGCAAGAAAAAGAACGTTATGTTTTTGCGTACTACGTCATCAGTTTCAGAGAGTGGTGATATGGATTCAAAAAAGCACAGTGTGGTGATCCAGAAAATCGGATCAAACTCTGTAAAATTAACAGTAACAAGAACAGGGAAATTGATGGGTATATGATAAAATGATTTAGCCATCTAAGGAGTACAATATTCACCGAGCTTGAAGGGCGAGGTGATCATTGTACTTCAAAGATGGCTAAATCATTGTATTGACCTAAAAAACAGCAATAATTGTTTTATTATATGATTCACTGATAAATTGATACAGCTCATTACTTGTTTGCATTTACTTTATATTCGCTTATGTTTTGTTCACACGAAAAAAAGTCATGGTCGTTTAAAAACCTTTCCAAAACAATTTGTATTCACTTCGGAATTTCCCGATATATTTTTAGATCAATGTAGAGGAAATAAATCCTTGTATTCACCTGGAACGTCACGTGCAGGTCAATACAACGTAGTATTTTTCTAACATAGTTGGATCTCAGCCAATCAGAGAGATGGAAATTATTCAATCATATAAAAATAGCTTATAGCTTCTGAATTTATAAATCAATACTGAATTTAAATATTAAATTCTATTTCGTTTATGGACAATTTTAAAAAGGTATGCCTATAGATATGAAAAGAGTAAAATTAGTAAATAACTAATTTTGTACCCTGCTCTGTGACCCCATTTTTACTGTCTTAAATCTTTGATAATTTTGATAAGAATCTAAATATTTTTCCAATTGTTTTGCTCATAATATATGAATCCGTTGTTAAAATATATGTACCAAATTTAGTTTAGATATGTGGTTTAAAAAAATGTAATGCTAATTGTAATAATCTACGAGCAAATTAAAAAAATTGCAGGGTCATCATGTTATAGCCAAAATGGTAATGTATACTAGTGTAAACAGAACCTTTCAAAGGACATACACGTATTCATAAAGTTACTGAAAATTTAAGGGAAATAATATTATACTTGTCTTTCAATGAGAAACCAGATGTATTAGTATTTTCATGACTCTTTATGACAAATATTCCATGAAATGCATTTTAATCTTATGTATTAACTACAAAGGAAGGCAAAAAAAAAATTTAGAGCAGGATGCATCAACTTCTGTACTCTGGCGTATCTAGGAGTATGTCAGCGGAACTTACCACTTCAACAAAAGCACTGAAAAACAGAAGACGAAGGGACTAATCTGAGATCCGCCCGAGATTAACACCAGCTTCAGAAGTGAAACACACTCCTGATGTGTCAGGAAAATCAAGATCAGTGGGAAAAAAGAATTCAGAACATGTCAAATTTGCTAATCTATATCTTTAAAAATTTAATTTTGGTCAATATATTTAATTGCGTAATAAAACTTAAAGAGAACTCCCATATTTTTTATTTTTTCTTATCATATATTTGCATATTTGTACAAAGAACGATTACTCTTCTCATTTGGGTGATAAAACATTCAGGAAAAGGAAATTTCTTGAATTAGTTTGTCTATTTAAAGAACGATTTCAGCTCTTAAGAATAAATAGAAAAAACTTTTAAAAATCATAGAAAAGCAACCTGTAGTTAAAATCATTATCAAAGCATTCTCTTTTTTTCATCATAAGGCTAAATTATTGATTTTTGTCAGAGGATTTCAATAACGTTGGTCGATGACGTCAAGACTGCATCAAAAGAAAATTAAGAAATTGTGACGACGGTGCAGCTTGTATCCAGATAACTGTTTTTAAGAGGCAAATACTTTATAAATTGTTTGTGATTTATTGGAGAAAAGGTGCAATATGATCAGGTATGTTTATTTTGTAGCCATGTGTTTTTCTATACTGAAGACAACAAGCCACAACCTTATGCACGCCAGGATTTCCTCTGATATTCTTGACAACATCTAAGAATGCAAATATAAGTAATAAACAACGATTATTTAGTGAACATGGCATTATGAATAGCATAAGCTCTGCTGGCAATTTTTCCATGATGCGCTGGCACGCATCATAGAATATGCCGGTGTAAAGACGAATAATGACCCCCATCGATTAATGACCGGGGGTCATTTTTCGGCAGCAAAAAATGACCCGCGGTCATTATTCGACGTAGAAAAATGACCCTTTTGCCCGTAGAAAAAGTCACTTCCTTAAAAATTTTCAGAACCCACGTGAAGAAAAATGACCTTCGTAGAAAAATGACCCCCTGTAGATTAAAGCTAAAACTTCTAGGGGGCAAAAAAAATTGGATAAAGAAGCATTTTGGCCAAAATGTTCACCTGAGCTTATTGGGAATAAACTGATGATATGTTGATCTCATAACATTATATAATTAAATTATAGCTATATTTTAAGGTAAATGCAAGGATTCAGAATCTAAAGGAGTAAAAGATTTATCAAGCCCTAGGGGTTAGGTAAACATTGTTTTTTGATGGTGGAAATCATCGAACTGACAGAAAAAATCAGCAGTATTATATATTATTATATCCTCCGCTTGAAAAGCGGGAGGGTATATAGTGATTGGGATGTCCGTCCGTCTGTTACGCTTTGAGGTATCCATCTCTTATCCGCAAATCCTCATATATAAAAAGATGTGTTTGTGAAACAGCTATGCCCCTGTATGGCAACATAGCGAAGATTAAACTTTTTTTTAAATGCAATTTAAATACATTGTTACCCAAAGTAGGGTCTTCTCACATGAAATACAACTGCAAAATAGGAAAGCCCTAGCACCACTTGTTCAAAAGTAATGGCTAAGGATAAGTTTTTGAAAGGTAGGTCAAACTCAAAGGTCAAAGTTAGTGATTTCTTAAGAAAATGTATAAATGTAACAAGGATTGCATATGTGAAGTATGAATACCCTAGCCCTTACCGTTCAAAAGTTATGGCCAAGGTAAAAAAAATCATAAGTACGGAAAACTAGTATCTACCGTTTGAAAGTTATGGCCAAAATAAAAATTTGGCATTTTTGTGTAAAATGGGATAAACTCCAAGGTCAAGGTCAAAATGTCAAATTTGGTGGTACCCAAAGTAAGGTCATGTTACAAGGAATATACATATTAAATATGAAAGACATAGCTCCAATAAATGAAAATTTATGGTAAAGGTTAAGGTTTTTGCAGACAAACAAACCGCCAGATAGACAGACGGACATACAGACGAACACGATAAAACTATATACCCCCGAATATTCGACTACGGGGACAGAAAAAGAAAAAGTCTTCAATTAACTTTTCATATTAATATACATTTTAAAGAAGATGCTACAACAAGGAAAATGTTTGTTCTGATTTTCATATTAAATTCTCTGAAAAAATACTTAGAACTGAGTAAAAGGGTGGAGTAAAACAAGAATTAAGGTAGAACCTATGTCGGAAAAGTCTTTGTCACAAGATTCTCAAACTTTTCAAAATGATAAATTAGTAGGCCTACTTGCTTATCAATCAGTTAAGATATCATGATATATTTCCTTGTTTTTTAATCTAGAACAGGCATTGAAACTTCGTAGGGTATTTACATACTGCGACTTCACATCTTCAAATATTTTTAGGGGTACTTGTCATTAAGGGAATATGAAAAATCACAAAAATACTTCTTCAAACATCGTCGTTTATAAAAATATTTAACTGAATAATATTAAACAATATCTTATCAAGAATAATTTCTTTTTTATTCAATTTATATAAAAGATAAGTCCACCATTAAAAAAATAGTCAAATGAACTATTCACCCTATATTTGTAAATATTTTTAGACGTCTTTGTCAAAATGTTTTCAATCTTCAATATGATGAAGAACATAGCCAAATGATTACAAAAAATGATTAAAATATATACCTTTCCCCTCTAACTAATGAAAGATAGGCTATTTACCGATACTCATCTTCTTGACCTTTTTGCACTTACACGGGATTTAATAATTAAATGACTGTTTGGGGTTACTTTCAGATTAAATATTTATCAGAAATTGTACTTTTTCTTTAAAAAGATCATAACTCATAGAAAAATTGTAATCAACGACCAAAAATATGAATAGGTAACAAATAATTGTTAAAAGGAAAGCACATCATTTCATTATAGATATCACAAAAAAGTACACACGATCAAACGATCTACAACACGTGCATCTTTGACTTAGACACATTTCATCAAGGTATTACGCTATATACATGTAGCTGGCAACTAAAGATTTCTTACGATTTATGCATTCCTTCAAAATGGTTACCTACCATTCAAATTATTACAAAAGTTGTATGTACATTGTAATTTCATTACACTAGAACTTCAGGTCTATATCTAGTAAATAAAAGGTGCCTAAATATTTTCTCTTATTCCGGAAATATATTGCCATTAAGCATTATAAACCAAAAAATGTATGAATTGAATTAAGATTATGTTGGCATGATTGATGGGTTTAACACAATTACAAGTTATGATGTCATACGAAGTAGGTTCTACGTTAAAAGAAATGTAATGAATACTTTGTGCTAAATCAAAAGTTTATGTCTATATATATATATATATATTTTTTGCATTAGAAAGACTGTGTATTTTACACTAGCCCATATTTTACAGAGCATATTGTTAGGTCTTATACTTACCCCACCCCCTTTCTTATTTAGGAGGAAGTCGATATTAAACAAAAGCAAAAAACATCCTACCTTTATTTTTCTATAAGAAAGGAATTAAAAATAAGCTAAAAATAATCTACTATTCTACTTATTTTTAATTGTTACTTTGCCACAATACTTTACAGTACAGTATACCTCCACCAACATTTAAAGGATGCTTTAATCAGGGCGAAGTAAATTATG